TATTATCAGAAAGTGACTGATTTTATTGAAAAGAAACATCCCGAAAAGGTTCACACTGGCCGTATTGCTGCTCAGAGTAATGACATTTGCCTAAGTCATTTTAGAAACATTTTAAAAAGTAGGCAAAGCCAAACCTCTTTGGATAGATATTTTACCAAGCGACTCTATCCAGTGAAAGTGCTGGTGGAAGTGAAGGAAAGAAAACAAAAATCAGTAAATAAAAATTTTAAAAAACTATAAATATATAAAACAACAATAATTTTTTAAAAATAACTTAAAAAAATTGTTACATTATGTTATGTAAGTTCTCTCTCTCTTCCGCCACCAGTTTGCACTTCCACGTTGTCTATCCTCAAAGGTAAGGTGCAAATAAAACTACATTTTTTTTTAAAATCAATTATTATTCTATTATGGTTATTTATACATTTACAACTACAAAACGCATTTTTCAGTGTTTTCCTTACTATTTTTTTAACGTACTACTTAGCTTTAATTTGAGTGTATTTTTCGTGTTGGAACGAATTATTTGGTTTTACATGTAATCGTATGGGGAACAATGATTCACCTTACGACATTTTCATGATATGGTCTCAGTTTCGGAACGGATTAATTTCGTATCCTGAGGTACCACTGTAAATGTTAAACAAAATGTAATCAAAAGTTGTACAAAAAATAATTAAATAATTTTATGATTTGCTGTATTTATATACACAAAATATAGAATCTGAAATCAGTGAATGAATATAGATACTTTCACAGTTTCTTCTATTTCTAAACATCATATTATCTATATACTGTCAATTTTTTTACCTTTGTCCTCAATTGTTCGTAATACACCATAAATATCAGGTCTTCTATGCATCCAAACAGGCATTTCTTGTCGAATGTTTCTCAAATATCCTAAATCAATTTCAGCAGTAATGACATCAGTTCCTTCTTTGCAACATGCTATGCAACAACCCCAAGGATCAATAACCTAGAATAATAAGTAGCTTTTATTATTATTTTATCTTTTCGTATAGTACATTAAATAATAATATATTCACCATAGCATGACCATAAGAAACTCGTTTTGGATTATGACGACCTGTTTGAGCAGCGGCAATTACATAACATTGTGATTCAATAGCTCTTGCTCGAAGTAAAGGCTAAAAATTTTATTTGACTATTATTAGCATATTCATAATAATAATTAAATAAAAGTATTTAACTACAAATAAAACTTTGATATTTAGTTATGTAAATAAAGAATTAATGATGCAATTTTACAAAATAATGTAAAAATATATTATTTTTAGATTATTCTAGAGTTAGTAATGTTATTACATACTTCCCAATGTGCCATACCAGTCGTTTGAGTAAATGCTGATGGATAAGTCAAAATTTCTGCTCCAGATTTTGCCAAAGCTAGTGAAAATTCAGGAAATCTTAAATCATAACACTATGTATGTTAGTTAAGGAGAGAGCATAAATACATCTGATAATTATTGAGAAAAATTTAACCAAAGTATAAATAATAAAATTCTTGCAATAGAAAAACAATTTAATAATAATCAAAATATTCTACACAGATATTTAACATTAAGTGAATATTATTTCATGTATTCATTGTTAATCATTTATCTTTCTTTTTTAAACAATTTAAAAAAGAAAGATAAATGATTATTTAATTTTGAATACAATTTAATTGTATTCAAAATTAAATAATTAACTGAAATTAATAATTTATAAATTATATTCAAACATGTATTAAGAATTGTTGATAAGTAATTCTTGTCTTTAATTACTTATACTTCTGTCAACTTTAGATGTTCTTGTGAACTAGGACTTGTTATCAGTGTAACAAGTCCTAGTTCACAAGAACATCTAAAGTTTCAAATTTTTCATCAAAGTTTCAAAACAAGGGAAGAGAAAAACACAGTTTCAAATTAAAACATATTTAATGTAATGTAATCCTGTATGCCACTACAATCCAGCATTTTGGGCCAAAGCCCCTCCTCAGCAAACATTACAATTTTATATTTTAATATAACCATATATTTCTTCAAAGAATTACCAATGCACCATTCCATAGGGCAATTATCCCTACATACCATCTCATGGGGACAATTGTCCCCGTGGAATGGTGTGTAGGGATTATGTTACATTAAATATGTTTTAATTTGAAATTGTGTTTTTCTCTTCCCTCAGTGCAACAAGTCTTAGTTCGCAATAGCATCCAAAGTCAACAAAAGTATAATATATGTATTAAAAATAATCAAATAAATTAGCACTAATATTTTAAAAAGGATACAATTCCCATCCCTATCTTTCCTACTGGAGATGAAACAGGTTTTACTATTCTTGATCCTGGAACAGTATAATCGGATTCACACAAGCGCATTCTTCCTGGTAAATCAACATCAAACATGTGAATTTTACGATATACTTCTACAATATTTCCAGAACTATCTAATATAACATGAGCATTCTGAACACGCTTTTGATCAGTCTGTGGCCCCTGAAATTAAATAAATAAATTATAAAATTATGATTTTTATATCTTTTTCAGTTTTGTTTATTATTTTTTTTTTATAATTTAAAATTTTGTAATTAACTAGTATTATTTATAAATCTTTACAAATAACAATAAGCACTTGTTCTATGTTAAGGTTAGGATAAAGGTCATATCAGTATAATATATTTCAAATCATCATAAATAAAATAAATTGTAATGTATTTCATATATAAACATCTCCAAGCCCAATAGTTATATTAAAACTAAACAATTGGTAGTAGTGGTAATATAGCCCGATTTAAACCTGCAATTGTTTGGCTTTAATTTAATGTATTTCACTAGGATACATTCTAAGTACACAAAGATTAAAATCTTTCATAAAATAATAGAAAAACCCTACACAAAATATACATACTATAAAACCTCACTTATGTGGTCACCTTCAAGATATACAATTTCTAGCCACATAAAGTGACGGTCATCTAGATAGAGTTATGAGAAAACTGACATAGAAGAATACATATCCTTTTAATAACAAAGTTAATAAAACCATACCTTCTACTAATTGTAATCTTGCTCATGTACCCCATTTAATGTTATTAATCAGTTATCATCAATACATACAAGTTTCAAAGTGATTACAATAAGGGATTTCTATTGTATTTATTCTGTAAATTTTTACAAAAAATACAGTATACATCATTTGTTAATAACATGCTAAGTAATGATACAAACCAATACCTTAAATATAAGAAAAATTCACATTAAAAAACAGTGAAATTAATGTCAGATAAAGCTATCATTATTAAATTGACTTCATTTTAAATGAAGTACAGTTTTTATTCAATACAATAGGTGATTGGTTAACAAACATAATTCATTCCAAGATAGTGTTTGCTATCCAAATTATTCATTAACCGATTATCAATTTAACATAGATTTTTCTGGAAATTTGATTAATTCATTCTGGAGGCTCCCCAAAAAAGAAAAAAATTATATACTTTCTTACTATATTTATTTATATGTAATAATGAAAGTATATATATACATAGTCTTGCATTTTTATCAGTCGTTTTTTTTTTCATTTGTGGGGCATTAAAGAATCTGTCCATTTGTCAATTGCTTTTCTCTCTTCTTCAGGATTTTTCAGAAGTAATTAATAGCATTGTCATTGTAGTGATTCCCAAGCCTATTAACCTCAACTTGGTTTGGATGCTATTCTAAGATTGTTGTTCTGACATCTCCCACTTCTTCAAAAGATCTTTAATAGCAGATGTCAGCATTGATTCTCTTTCATCTTCCTTTTTTTCAGAAGAAAACACATCTCGCTGAGTTTCTTGTTGTTCTTCATTCAAGAATTCTTGGAGTTCTGTTGTCAGATCAGTTTCAGGTTCCATTATGAGCTTTTCGATGTCATCTTCATTCACCTCCAATTCCAGATCTCTAGTAGTACGGTACTCACAATTTCATCCATAATTTCAGGGGCATCATCTCTGTCTCCCTGAATGCAGGAGGAACACAGCTTTTGCCAAGCAGAATTCAACTGTTGTTAAGTAACTTCTGACCATGCCTTTTGAATGAACCATATAGCTTCAAGAATATCAAGTTTTTCTTTCCAAAACATTTTTAATGTAAATATCACTTATGGTAGCTGCTACTTCGTTGTGAATGTGTCTCTTTAATCCAATCAATTCAGTTCAATTTCAGTATGTCAAAACAATAAAAGAAGTATCTAACCTGAAAACTGTATTGATAGTCTACCAAACTGAATTGATTGAATTAAAGAAACACATTCACAATTTTTAATGTAATTGTTGAGGAGAACTGGCATGCTTCAAAACACCAACAAAACAGTGCTCGAATATACAATTTCTTGAAACCTGCAATAACTACCTGATCCATTGACTGAATCAATGAAGTGATATTTGGAGACAGAAACTGAACTGTCAGCCAGGGACAGCAAATTATCTTCAAGGTCTTTTGGGTGTTCTGGTGCATTGTCCAATAGCAAGTGCTTTCAATGGCAACTCATTGGTCTGAAAGTAATCCTTTATGTTTGGAGCACAAAGTTCAAACAACCATTGTTTGAGTGATCTATGCCCTTTTATTTGATCTCCACATCAATGGCAGTCTTTCTTTAATTATGGAAATTTTTTTGAATGCTCTAGGGTTCTCAGAGTGATAAACTAGAAGTGGAATAAGCTTAATATCACCATTAGCATTAGTTCCCAAAAGTAACATCAATCAGTCTTTCATGGGTTTATGCTCAGGAATATTTTTCTTGTCTTTCACAATGTAGGTACAATTTGGCATGCACTTCCAAAATAAACCATTTTCATCACAATTGAAAATTTGTTGTGGACAATATTCTTCTTTTTTAATGAATTCTTCAAATTTGAGACAGAACTTCTCAGCTTCTTCTTTATCTACACTAACAGACTCACTGTAAATTACCATATGTTTAATGCCAGATCTTCTTCTAAACTTTGCAAACCATCCAGTAGCCTTGAATTCTATCTCCTCATATGACAAATGTGGAGTTTGTTTCTTCAGTTTTTCAAAAACTTCTCTAACTTTCTCTTGAATGATAGTCATACTAGTTACATCTCTCTTCATTTCCCTTTCTTTTATCCAAATTAAAAGTAATCTCTCCATTTTTAACTGGATGGGACATCTTTATTTCTCAGATGTGATTTTCATTACTCCTTTAGATGCTTGAGTCTTCCTGATTATATCTTTCTTAGCTATTATTGTGCCTACTGTAGACCTGCTTGATCAAGCCATTCTGCTTAGCAACATTAGACATCTGCCTACTCTCTACATTGGCTATTATCTCTTGCTTGGTTTCTATGGTGAGTGCAGTTCTTGACATTACACTGTTTTTAGGCACCATAATATTATCAATTTTTTTTTTTACATATAAAGTTCAGAAATACACTTACTTAAAATTTAGAGAACAGAAATCAACTAGCACACAAAAAACTTAAGTAAATGTGAGACCTGGATGAAATTTGAAATTTGGGTGCTAAAATATTAACAAATATCCAATGTAACAATTAAACTCTCACCTTTCGAAAATAAAAACTGACATAAAACTTAACAAGTGCCCAACAGTCTTGAAAAGACTATAAATAATTCTTTCTGTCAGAAAGGTAAACAAAATGCTGGAATTACAAGGGAGAGTTTCAAAGTTTGAAGGAATACTTTGTGATCAGTATTGGTTTGAGCATTGCTGTCAACATCTCCTATACTCCAAAAGGTTTCAAACTGTCACCTGGAGACAAGGGAAGAGCAATTGGTATTCACTACTTTACATCGCTTCTTCTGTTTGTTCTGTGAGGTGTTCGTTATCCAAACATGTATTTGTTGTCTGAACATAAAAATTTTTCGTGAAAGTGTTCGTTGTCCAATTTGTTTGCAGTCTAAACTATTTGTTAACCGATCACCCACTGTATTTTATTTCTAAATTCATTTCAACATTAATTTATTAAAATACTCTTTTTCATCCTTAATGTATAGTTTTAAACAATTCAAATTATCTCAGTATGCACTTCTAGAAAGTTCAGATACTATATAGTTCTAGGTTACTACCTTTTTTGCAGATAATGACTCTACAGAATTTATAAAATTACAATTTTTATAAAAGAATATAACAAAGCAATTACTAATATTTTATTCTGGTAAATATATTAGTAATTAAAAGTTATTCTGGCAAAAGAACATTAAAATTTCTTTCTTTTAAATAAAATAGTGTATAAATTTATAAAATAACACTCAATAAAATTATTTTATACCACTTCAATGAGTTAGATAATGTTGTTAATCATTATATCTCTACCTGCATTACTATAACAAGTTAATAAACTCCAAATACCTTTAAAATGCAGTCTATTTTAAAAAACTTATCGAACTGTTAGTTCGATCCTGAAGAAGGTCTGTTAATTTGACTGAAAACGTTCGATAAGTTTTTTAAAATAGACTGCATTTTAAAGGTATTTGGAGTTTATTAATATTGTTAATATTTCCATAAATAAAAAAAAAAAAAATTATTAAATTTGAGACTTATTTGACATCTATATAAATATAATATTAAGATTTTAAATCATACCGTTTCATGAAAACCACCAAGTGACAACCAAATGGAATTATTTTTTGCCAGTTCTTTATATTTGGTTATAATTGGTCCATTTAATGGTTCTGATAATTTTATTGACTGATCTTTACTTTCTCCTACTAAATCAAAGCATTCAGGGAGAAAAACCATCTAAAATAAAAACAATTATTATTTTTCATGTATAATATACTGTCTTCATATTTTCAAAAACATAAAATTAATCTATCTGTGATTAAGAAATAAGTTATGAAATGAAATCATAAAAATTTATAATTCTATTTACATATAAACTTTATAAATTTCATTAAAATGAAATTTATAATTTATTTAAAATAAATTTATTATAATTTACATGAATAAGCTACAAAAAAGACAAATATGGGCATGCACAGGGCAAGCTTTATATCCAAGTTTAAGAACTACTGTTTCTCAATTTTATTACAATACTATTTAAATTTCACCTATATAAATGTAAAAATCTATATATTAAGAATTGGCCAACAGGAGAGGTATTGTGTTTCATCAGGACAATGCCAGGTCACACCAAGCAACCTGGCGTTTCAAGTGACCAGGATCTGTTTCATCAGGACCTGGCACCAAGCGATTACCATCTTTTTTATCATTGCAAAACTTCCTTAGTGATAAGCAATTGGCATCAAAATTGCTTAGTCTAATTTTTCACCAATAGGGACCAGGGTTTCTATGAGAAAGGCATTATGAAGTTACCTTTAAGATGGCAACAAATTATAAAACAAAACAGTGCATATTTGACCCAAGTTGGCCAATCCGAACCATGTTAAATAAAGTCTTGAAATAAACGTGAAAATAATGGATTTCTTTTTTCCCCAACCTAATATAAATGTAAAATCTACAGTAGATATATATATCTACTGTATATGTATATCTTTCTACTTAACATTTTTCCAAATTATCTCTTGGATGAAGTAGGTGCCATTCAAGTATTACATTCGCAAAAATTTGCCTTTTTTGATCCCTCTTCCTCATCATCATCAATCATCATAAATCAAAGTAACCCTCTTCTAATTATGTCATCAAGTCAGAAATTAAAACCATTTGCAAATACACAGACAATGTTTCTGTTTCTGAAACTCCTACATCATCTTATGCCAGGGTGCTTTCATAAAACATTTTGGAATTTTTGATGAAGGATTCCTCCATCTATGATTAATATTTTACCAGTTTATTTCACTATTAAACTTTACAACAACCTCTGTAGGATGGCTTCTCAACTGATGTTCCTGCATATTAAACATAGATAAATTTGAGACATAGATAAAACATAGATAAATTTGAGAAACCAATTTTATTTAGTAAATGTGGTAAATATTTAAAGATGAATTATAATACACTATATAAAGTGAATAATAATGAATTTTTTAGAAAATTTAGTCTCCAGTTCACCACAATCTTCATTTTTCAGACTAACAGATAAATTCTCAGATAAATGGCATGGATATAAAATGGCATTTGTTGAAAACTTGAAACTTCACTTGTTAAAAAAGTGATACTGATGAGGATTGTTAAGTCTAAATGCATTTATCACAATAAAGACATTGGAAAAAAGTAAATAAAGTTTTAATTGATTAATTTTTATTTTAATATTAGTTTTAAAATAATTTTATCTCGGATGAACAGTTGGAAAGAAAACTTATATTTTTAACAGTTAATTGTCTTATTCAATAGATAAATTCTTGTTGGAGGAAACATAAGAATATTAAAGATAAATAATATAAAATTTAAAAGGAATGCTATAATAATAATGCAGTCATTCCCACACAATTTTGTGTTGACCAGAGATAAAAATAAATGATGGGTGCAATCTTACATGTCTTAAGACTCAACCTCATTCCTCCCATCATCAGCATTCATCAGATATAAACAAAACTCCTCCCCATAAACTAACATAATACTTGAATGTTCCTAACCTACCTTTTCTAACACTAGCCTTCACTTGACAATAATTAGATCATTTTTGGAGCTCTAAATGCCAGAGTAGGAAATTTAATGGACACAAGGCACAAAAGCTCAGCTAATGCCATAGTAAACACTAGACTCAACAAAAATATTACCATTAACAAGAATGGTAGTTAATTGATACATCTTGTTACAGCAACTGACCTTTTAATTCTGGATGGTTGTATTAAAGATAACATTCCTGCAGAATATACATTCACATCTTCCAGATGTAAATCAATCATACTACATCTTTTTTTCCCATTCCTTGCTGAATATGTGCAGAAATTCAATGTCATTGAATTTACACTGTCATTTGGATCACTTCCTAATACAACTCAACATGACACTAGTTTAAGAAACATAGCTATCTCTTTCTGAAGCCCACAAGACTAATATTACATCCAACAATCGCCTAAATATTTGAGCTATAATATGGCTATAATTAAATAAATAATACAAATAAATTTGGTACTAGAGGTAGTTAGGTGTCATCTCTTATGTAAATTAATAATTATAATTTCAACACAGTAGAGCCTCGATTATCCGACTCAATTGGGGACTGGGTTGGTCGGATAATTGAAAAGTCGGATAACCGAAAAGTATGAAAAAATCCATTATTAGTGTAGTATATCAGTATATCGCTATTAACCTACTTTGCGTTGAATTTTCATCGATGTTAAGCCTAACAAAAATTTTTTAAAATAATAATCGTTGCTATTGTATCGTTAAAAATTAGAAAATTAAGCCTCGTTTAAATACTGGCTCCCATTCATGGTCGATCCAGTGTTGCCAGCTAAAACACACAAAAATAATATTAAAGTAGCCAAGACATAGCCAAATATTGTAGCGCCACATCACTAGCAGACATTTGAAATTTGCCGACTAGGACGGTCGGTTAATCGGGGGTCGGATAATCAAGGCTCTACTGTAATTTAATAAATAATTAAAACCCTTCTGAAAGAAATAACTGACCCAGGGCAGGGTATGAACCTACAGCCTCTGCTTGCCATATGGTGTGCTACCAACTGCACCACCCAGACCCCAAGCCAGCCTTTGCTTTCAGAAGTATTTAAATTTCGATATAAATTTCAATATAAATTTTGATTTTCTTCCAGAAGGTTCTAAATTATTTATTAAATTATTAAAATTATAATTATTAATTTAGATAAGAGATGGCACCTAATGCTTACCTCTAGTACCAAATTTATTTGTATTAATTATTTGATTATAGCCATATTATAGCCTGAATATTACGCAATTGTTGGATTATATTAACTCATCAGGCTTTGAGATGTGTATTATATTACATCCAATGCATTCAAGCAATGGCTATAACTGTAACAAGTTCACCAATGAAGCCAAAAATGTTAATTGAGACATTTGACTTATCCTGTCTATTCTGACCAACTAGCCCATGATTATCAACTACAATATCATTACCCAAATCCTTTCACTGTTATCAATTTAATAAATCTTGAATTTAACAATCAATGTCACATTGTAAAACAGATGGCAACTCACAACTTTTTGGAGCATAAGTATCTTAGTCAATCTAAAGAATTATATCAACTCCAAACATATATACTAGTGTCAAAAAAACAATAATAATTGTCTAGTAAATAATTGGTTTATGTTTAAAGTAAAAAAGTTGTGTATTTAAAAAAGTAAAAGTTAAAAAAACTTTAAAACTCTTGAAAAAAAAATAATCATGAGAAATTATGTTTTTCAATCTTGAAGATAAAAATTGAGAAAAGATAATTTCTTGTGATTGGATTTTTGTGAGAAGTTTTAAAGCTTTTATAAAACTTTTACTTTTTTAAATATACAACCTTTTTATCTTAAACAAATATACCAATTCCATTGTTTTAATTTTTACAAATATTTGGTTTATATGTGTTAATGAAGATATGCCTCAATTTAGTTATGTTGTCAAATAGATCAACCAACTATCTTCCCTACCAGCAGCTAGAAAAATTCTCTCTTCTCTAAAAAAAATAAAGCTATTTCTGGATACAATCAATTCTGAGCAGGATAATAAAAACCTTCCCAACTGGCTACTTGAAGCAATTAAACACATTCTAAATGATTGCAAAGTGACCTATTAGCACCATTTCTCATTAACCAAAATGTGATTGATTTAAATCAGTAAAAATGAAGAAAAAAGAAAGAAACAGATTTAAAAGACAATTATTTGAACATATTTATATAAAAAGGCAAAATAATAGAATAAATAATAATTTAGGAAGAGAAATCCATCAAACATGCATCGTCTATAGAGGGAGTAACATGTAAAGACCTTAAAGGAAAGAGATAAGTCTAATAAGATAGAATAAAGGTGCTGGATAAGCGAGTAATAGCCAATTTTAATCCTTTTTAGAAAACTTTAAATTTTAAACAAGTTTTTTATCCTTTTTTATACAGGAAAGTTTCCTTCAGAATTAACATTATGTTAAGAACAATTATAGGGATGCTTTATGGCTATACTTTTGTGTTAATGATAGACAATAAGGAATCTGTAAGTTATGTTATGTCTTAAATACAATTGTCAGTTATAATCTTGTTATAAATTTTTTTAAATAAGTTTATTTAAAAATTTTTGTTATAGAATTTTATTGTAAACCTGCCTTCAGGTAAAACACAAATATAGTGTGTACAGGTGAAAAATAAAGTTAATTTTTGTTTTTCTGAATAATATTGCCTCTATTTGCTAAAATGGAAACACAGTCAGTGTAATAAGTCCTATTAATATTCAAAGTGCAATGTAGACAATGATATAATAAAGAATTTAATAAAGTAAGGACATAGAGGCAAAAGAATTAATAAATGAACTTCTCTCATTGATTGCGATATTCTCACATATATCTTCAACAATTGGCTAATTTCTTCAAGATAACGTCATTCAATCAAAAGTTAGATCAGTTAAATGTTGCTGTCTTGTCCATTTAGTACATTGTTGACATTTCATTGCTATGGTAACTGCTAGTGTAAATGAGTGAACCAGATTGGACTGTTCTAGTATGTAAAGGAATGTCGACTTTTTCATTGGTTTTTATTCTGGAATTGTACCTTAAAACCATGATCTATAGTCAAGGTTTTAGGATACAGTTCCAGAATAAAAACCAATAATAAATAAATGGAACAGCATCAGGAATAACATTATTTATGTAAATCTCACTGCAATGTACTAAAAGTGTGCCATTTTATTGATCATTTTTGGTAACTTTAAAGTTATTATTACCAGTATATCACAGAGAAACAAAATGTGATCAGAATATGCATAGTTAATTTTATCTCATATCAGTTTAACTTTTTAAAACAAAAATATGATAATTATTTTGGATATTTTCAACAAGCTCTTGGCTACTTTTGAAATACTTTTGGTGACCACTTATTGAAAATATCTGGAACTCTCTATCCTGCACATATGTAGTTGGTTTATTACAAAGACTGACCACACATGATAAATTTTACAAATATAACATTGTACAGTACAGGCCATGACCTTTAGTCAAGGTTTTAGATAACTGTGTAGTCTTAGGCTATTATTGTATTGTACAGTATTGTATTGTATTGTATAAATAAATAAATAATTTATATTTAAATGTCTAATTGACACTATTTATTCTTAAATTCAAAACCATAAAACTATAAAATAATTTTATATAACATAAGTTATACTTTTATATATTTAAAAGATTTTAGAAATATTTCTTAATAGATACACTCTTTGTAAAGTAGAATTAATTAAAAGTTTACAACCTCAGCTCCTCTTTTCTTTGCTTTTTCAATTAAAGATTTACATATTTCAAAATTTTCTTCTTTATTTGACTTGCATGTCAATTGACATACAGCAATTAATGCTCTATCATTCATGTTTTTTTCAACACTGTATCTGAAATAAATAATTTTAACACATTACAAAATATATACATATAAAAAAATAATAAACCAAAAGATGTCTAAATGTACACAAATGTTATGGGAAAGAGTATTGTGACAATGTATGCACATGCCCATTCTTTAAATAACAATACTAACTTACCTTTTTTTGATCTTTTAATGATTTTATACAGTACCCTAACTTATGTGATTTTCAAATCTCGTCGATTCATCTTTTGTTTGAAACTATTGATTACTCACTCCCCCCACACAGCTTCAGCTTACATGTTCAGATGTGTTGTGCGGAATCGACACATAGCTACAATTTATTTTGTGTTATTGATTTCTGTGTTTGTTATATCTATGGAGACTTGAGAGACTCTATGTGGTGATTTCTTGTAACCATGAACAAATCAAAAGACAAGATAAGATTAACGAGAACATTTATTAGCTTACATATATCCGACTTGGATTTTACACAAATTGCAAAATTATATCCCAACTTACGCGAATTTGACGTACGCGGTTATGACTCGGTCTCACCTATCACATAAGTTTGGGGTATTACTGTATTTTAAAAAGATTTTCTTACATATTTAACATTAAAAGATCTTTCAGATTTTGTTTTTTGCCACAATATTTAGATGCTATAAAACTTTCAAATTACAGTAGACTCTTTCTAATCCAGCCATTCCTTATATGAAGGGTGTCAGATTTGTGAGTGCTGGATTACTGAGAATATATAGATTTAAAGCCTACACATTCTCATAGACCTTCTGTACTATTTTTGGAAATAGGTGGAATAATACAGCACGCTAACATGCAATACTGTACACAGAAATGAAACCCAAGAAAACAGGAACATAGGACATGTAACTTGATTAACATTTTCATCAAAACTGATGTGCATAAGCTATTTATTACACTAGAGGATGATTGAGAGGTATGATTATTGGAGTTGGATTAGCAAGAGTCTACTGTCAATTTTAATATTATACAATGCTATTTTTATAAAACATTAATGACATAAAAGCATTCACCCAATGAGAAATTAGGCATGCAAACATTTTATCGTCATCAAAATAATAAATATTAAATTAGAAGTTTTCTTGAAAAACATCAGAAATAATGCAAACTTTAAAGCAGTTTGTTTTTGTAAAAATTAAATATAAGCATGGCCATCAAGAAGGGATGCTGAAGATTTTTCCCATCATCCAGAAAAAACTCATGGCCTGTTCCTACTCTTACAAATTTTTATTATTTTGACTAATAGAAAATAAAATCCTTAAGTCTGCTTTTCATTAATAAAAAAAAACATTTGATATATTTCATTTGTTCAAAAGAAAAAAAAGAGGCAAAAGAAACCTACTGAGAAGTAACGGTGGCCCATTCTATCCCAGGCCCCATACAAGTTTTCAACAGCTGTGAATATAAGGGCCCACCAGTGGCCAAGTAGATAAAAACTACTAAACACTGATAGCCAGTAGTGGATTAATCCCCATTATTGAGCTGGACGTGTGGAGTTTTCCAGGTTTTCTTTGCATCAGTAACACCTAAATAAAGGCTAGTTTCCCATAAAAGACCTCCCGGAAGGTCTTTTATAAGGCAGTGCAACATATGTGTGATCCTCAGCAGATTGCTATGTTGCATTGCTGTATACCAATAAAACCTAAATATAAGACCATAAATTAAATCAATAACTAATTAATTATTGAATGCATGAAGTAGCAAGTTCTTATTTATGTCATAAATTTATCTACATGCCCATTTCTCTCACAAATTCTTAGCTTTCTTCTTTCAAGCATCTATATTGGCAATTAGAGGTTACTAAAGCAGCTTGATGGCTTTTATCAGTATTCAATTCTCATAATATAGAGTTAAGAAATTTTTCTTCCCAAAACGACCCAGAGCAAATTATTACACATTAAAATCTGGACTTCAAAGAGGTTAATATGATGTAGTCAGACCATGTCTACTGTAATTTTCTAACAGACATGTAGAATAATTCTCAAACATACTGTCTTTGCAATGATGCAATGTCCTATCAGCAAAAAGGACAATTGCACAGGGCCTCTCACCAACAGGGGGCCCTAAACTGATCTTTTATAAGAAAATATTTCCACCAAAGAATAATGTCTGAAGTGAACATAGGCATCCATGTTCACTTCAGACATTATTTGAACTAGGAGGCCCCTGTACAAGGGGCCTCCTAGTTTCAATTTGCCTATGAAGCTATAACGCGCCACTGGGACTTTGTAGCCATTTATGCAGATAAAAAAATTAAAATATAATTACCTTCGACAAAGTCTTGCATCTACTCGTATTAATCTTCGATACGATTCAAGACGTGAGAAATAACGAAACTTAATGACAAAATTCATTCAGCCTCAATATTTACCTGAAACATTCAATATATCACTTTAAAAATTAATAAATGTGATTAATTTTCAAGCCATACCTTATATTTAGCAATGAACAAACAGTTGAATGTAATGATTGATGCTAAATTCTCATTATGCAATCAAAACACTGATGGCAGCCATTTTGAAGACTTCAGAAGCAGCCGACGTTTAATTTTTTTTTTTTTTTTTTTATACTGTACTAAATTTAAAATAAATGATTACATTTTATTTTATTAATGATATTTACGAAATAAAATTAATTATTACATATTTATATTTAGAAATAAAATTATATATTTGCCACCAAAAATAAATTCCTCTGGCTTTTTTAAACTCTTTCCGCCCTATGAGCCTCTTTTTAGCAAGCCCGTAATGGGTTTGACCATGCCCACAATGGAGCTATTAGATGGTAAGGAACGAGTCCGGCGTATTCGGATGTAACACCTCCCGGAAAACTCCTAAAGTGTTTTTAACACGTCCGGATCGATCCCGGATTCTCCAAGGCATTATGTAGTTATCTTAGCCGCTCGACCATCCGACCGTGGCTTTATGTATACATACTAAAATGACTTTTTTTAGTAGATTCTGTTTCATTTCGCTAAATCGAAAGTGGATACTTGTGAGCAGGTAATGGAGAATGGACCCCGATGCATTCGTGCAAATCATCCAAGAAAATTGTTTGAGATTCCTCTCGAACTTGAACCAGAAACTTTTAGAACGGTAAGCCGATGCTTTTGCACGTCGGCCGTCACGCCCTATGAAATTAAAAAGATTTTTTAACATATCCATCACAGATTCACAATGATATGATCAAATATATACTATATATATACTGGTTTGGTTTGATGGATTAACCAAGTCCATATGGGGTGGGTGGTCCTGTCGATCACCACCCGCCCATCTCATTGTAGGCTTGTGCATACACATGATTTTTATGAAAAAAAATAAAATATGCAAGAATCGAATAAAATCCGTAAATGCTTTTTTTAGTCAAAAACTGCTCATTTAAATAATTAACAAAAAAAAAACATTTTTCTTTTAACTATTGAAAATTCCAACTACAAAGCCATAGAAATTCAGATAAATTGCAGCACGAAAGGATTAATTAATGCAGAAATAACATTACAGTAATAGATTATATAAAACTAGCAGCGTAAAAGTAACGATAACGAAGATTAAGATTATTACATTATAGCCAATCTTACCCGTTTTCACAGAATGCAAAAATTAGGTCCCGGTGTTTCCAAACTAATTAGAAAATTTTTAGATGGGTCTAATATTATGTTCGATTACCCGCAAAAACGCAAAAAACAAAAACCGCATCTGCGCCTGTAAATCTTGCACGTCGCTTTCTCTTAATGATGAATTATTATTAAACTGTTCCAAAAATAAAACTGAAATTCTCAAGACAAACCGACAATTGCGAAACAAGTAAAAATCTATATTAATATCATTTATTTCGAATTTAAATTAAAATATCTTTATAACATAAACTTATTTTTCAGTCACCAACAGATTCTCGGAGAACACAACTATCAATACAACGTTCAACAGAATCTTGGGAATGTGATATCTGTTTCGCTCCAAATTATACCAATCCATTTCGATGTTATTTATGCGACAGTTTGCGACTCGAGTCTTTAAAATGAACTGACGAATTCAAAGATTTCATTGCTTTACATAAATGCACTTCAAATCTGAAATATTTTAATTATTGTTGTATCAATTATATACATATAAACAAAATTATTTACTGATTTAATACAGTGGTACCTCAGGTTACGAACGCCCCAGCATACGAAATTTTCAGGATACGACATGAAATTCGAACATATTTTTGCTCCACGATACGAACAAAAACTCACCATACGACGTTACATTAGTTCGCATTTTTCATTTGTTTTTCTTACTACAGTTATTTTTTT